TGTTTTATGGGGGTGGGGGGAGGGTGGCCGCTCAGGGCAGAAGGCTGGATGCAGGGGCTGAAGGCTCTAACTGGGAGTGCAGGCTTTGGGGTGGGGCTAGGGATGAGGAATTTAAGGTGCAGGCTGCCCCAAGGCAACAGCAGGGAGAGAGGACTCCCCGCAGCAGCACCTGGGTTGGGGCTAGGGAGGAAAGGTGCCTCCCTGAACTGAAGAGCTCTGGGGTGAGGCCATGGGATAGGTGCCTCTCCCCCAGGCATGGCAAGTCCAGGCCCAGGGTAGGGGCAACTCCCCTGTGGTCGCGGCAAGTCTGGGGCTGCACTGAGGCCAGGCAAGGGGCATCTCCCCCTCCCTGGCAGCAGGCCCGGGGCGGGGATCAAGGCAGCCCAGAGCACCTGTGCTTAGATAATGACTGCTTCAAAGAGATCCCGCAACGGTTCATTAAGTCCTGTGCGTCTGGCGCTCTGGAGAGGTTTCCGAGCTCCCGAACAGCGATGAGCTAAGACAGTAATGAGCAGTGATAGATGACAAAGCAACAGGAAAGGGAGGGGATCATTTAGCTATTCGTGATTACACTTCACCTGGGCTCCGTTTTATTCAAGGAGGATTTTTGTGTGTGAAAAAATTGTAAGTATTCCGCAGTGCTAGCCAAGGTCTCACGGAACACACTTCGGGCGGGCCGGGGGAGGAGGATAGAAAGTTTGGCTTTTGTTTGGGAATAATGCAAACCACATGCATGCTTACACTTATCCAGACCTGTTCTTATCACCAGGGGCGGCCCGTCCATATAGGTGAACTAGGCGGTCGCCTAGGGTGCCAGTTGCTGGCAGCTAGTCTAGGGCCGCCCCTGCTTATCACACAGTATTTTTACATAATCTCTCCTATCCCCTCTTTTTTTAAATTCCCAAAAGGAACATTGGGAGCTAGGAGTTAGATATAGATATAATGGAGATTGCCTATCTCCTAGAACTGGAAGGGACCTTGCAAGGTCATTGAGTCCAGTCCCCTGCCTTCACAGCAGGACCAAGTACCATCCCTGATGAATTTTTGCCCCCAATCCCTAAATGGCCTCCACAAGGATTGAACTCACAGCCCTGGGTTTAGCAGGCCAATGCTCAAACCACTGAGCTATTCTGCCCCCCAGGAGTTGTACAGGAGATGTTTACAAAAGGTTGCTACCAATCCCAGGGGCTATATGCTTAATTGACAGTTTACAAAAGGTTGCTACCAATCCCAGAGGCTATAGGCTTAATTGGCGCGGTGCCTTAGCTCTGGGCTATAACTCATGTTGCAAAAGATGCCAAGCAAAACTGTCCAAGATGTGCTAGTTTCCGACAACAGTAACCGGGGGCACTCAGAGTGATGACGGGAGCTCTGCCCTCGACACCCCCAAGACGGGTGTCTATACACC